TGCAAGGGCTGACTGATGTAAATGTTGTAGCATACGAATTGAATGTCGTGGGGCACTGCCGATGATCGCAAGCTGAGCGTGTTGTCTAGTTCTAAATGTAAAAAGGCACATTATAACTGTTCTTCTCTGAGAGAGAAAAGTCAAGGGTGCTAACTCTTGGAGACTTCGAGGAAAGAAATAGGGGCATAGTTTGGAGCCCTGAGAAATACGGCCCAAGATTCCCAATGTCTTGGGCAACCTAGTGGGTTTGCTATATCAACACGGCAACCCGCAGAACAGGAGTTTGGGTAGGAGAATTTACCACTCAGTTTTCGTACTTTTTTCAAGACTGACTCAGAGGAACAGAGGTGATGGTGGAGCCAATCTCGCCAGCAAGTCATTTAGCATCAGGGATGACACGGCGACCCGATCGCACGCTTCTGGTTGAAATAAAGAAGTTTTCCTGGTTTATTGTACGGTACTGCCCCATGCAGCACGTTCAAACGTACTGCACGGGGCACAAGCGGGAGACCACCAAGGCACACATTTCTGAGAAATGCTTGCCAAGTTTGGGTATAGATGAGAAGCTGGGGTTTTAAACGGAGGATGAGAGAGGTGTAAAGCTATCATGGGGACGAAGAAGGAACCTCACTAAAAACAGTTGCGAGTAAAGGTTCCAATTTGCCTGATCAAATTGCCAGCGTGAGATACGAAGAGGTGGTGAATATGAAGGGGAAGTAAGAATGATTGGGAAATGATCGCTGTAATGTAAATCCGGGAGAACAGACCGAGATCGATGCAAGAGAGGGTGCGAGCCGAGGATAAAAAGGGTGCGAGTACCTGTATTTAAAACATGGAGGGGATGGGTGGCAAGAAAATCCTCTAACTGAATGCCACGGGAATCAGTGAAAACCCCTCCCCCCCAGAGGAAATGATGGGCATTAAATCGGTGGTGGTAATGAGAAACAAGAAAGGCAATATCCAAAATTTATTATTATTAAATCAAGGGGGAAGCGCTAAACCCGGGGGATTATACAGTATTATCCATAATAGATAGTGCCCGAGGAGAGAGATATAAAGAACAGATGTATACCACCTATGCAAGTGGATAGGGCTGCTGTGTAATGCAGCGAAGTACGAACAAATAGCTGATGGTACGGAATATCAGTCGTAGAAGAAGGGCACTTTCATTAAGGTCCCTCAGGAAAAAGTATCTGAAGAATACAATAAATTATAGCCTGAGATGGGAGAGAAATGGCAGAGTGTACTTTTGATTCCTGTAAGCAAACACCAACAGGGGAAAACTGGGAGAGTAACATCTGAAGCTCACCCCGATTTCCCCCTGAGGCCGCGTATATTCCACTGTAAATAGGCCATGATTGGCAATGATAAAGATACTTGAAATCTGCAGGTAAGGGTTCCAAAGGACTAGAGGGGTTAGAAAAGTCCACTTTGCGGGGGCAGGGGGAAAACGTTCAAGCAGCGAAGGAATGGTGCGCTGTGAAGAAAGGAGTTGCGCAAATGGAGAAGAGAGAGAAGGAACAGAGGGTGGTTTCAGTTTTCCATTGATGGTTTGGTCTCTGCAATATATTCAGAGATTGCTTCAAGTGTTTCGGAATTCAGAGACGTCGTATGGGAGAGAATATTGGAGATGGTGGGGGGAGGATGAGTAAAGATTGGAACTGTAATGGACTGTACCAAGGTAGGGGGGGGGAGAGGGTGGAGGGAACTGGAGAAGAAGCATGGAAGGGGACAGAAGGGGCAGAAACCTGGAAGGTGGCAGAAGGGAAAACTTGGGAGGGAACAGGGGAGGTAGGTATAGTACGAGGAGGTGAACCTCTACACTTGTAACAAGCCAGTGAGAGGGGAAGAACCCGGTACAGAGACAGGAAAGGTAAAATGAGGAGGTGGAGGAAGGAGGGGTTAAAGCCCCTTTTTTGACTTCTGAGAAGTAGGGGGACGATTGGGAGGAGGTGTCGTACGAGGTCTCGTCGATACTGAGGTTTGTGGGGGAGAACACGAAGCGAGAACAGACTGAGGCGTTGAAGTGGGGGCCGTCTGACCCTAGGACAGCAAAAGAATTTAGATACAGGAGTGACTATGGGAGAGGTAACCACAGAGGAGGCTGCAGAAGATGGGACCCCAGAAGTGGGGGGACTTTTTGAAACATAAAGGTAGTCCCCTTGGAGGCGGAGATGAAAACTGCCATGGCATAAGGGAGACCTGCCTCTTTGAGGTAACGGATTTCCCGCTCATTTAATTTAGACTTGGCAACAGCGAGAGTACGAAGGGCGAGCCTCAGGGAAAATTTAAAGGGCAAGAGGGAGGTCGATTGCAAGACATATTAGAATGGTTTTCAGCACACCAGACTGGGCATTCGGCTATGGATCTGCAATTTTTTCGCTGGATGGCCAAATCGCCAGCAATTTCTACACTGTTGCGGTGTAGGGATCACCTTTCGAACTTGTAACCGATGTCCTGCTACATAAACTGAGGATGGGAGTTCATGGCTGTCAAATTTAAAACGAGCCACTTTTGCTAGGGTATCATCTCCGCCTGCGGGCAGGAAGAACGAAAGTGTCTACCTTGAGGATTGGGAGATCTTTGATTTCCCAGCTGTTCAAGAATGTCATTGCCACATGTCTGGAAATTTTGTTGAACTATGGTATGGGGCAGAATGACGGTACCACTACAAGAATTGAGGGAATGATGTTTTTCAATAGTGACAGGAACAGTATCTATATGGGAAAGAAGAGAAAGCTCATGAGCTTGGGTAGAATTCTGTACAGTGAAGATGCGTGTACCGCTCTTAAGAGCATGAAAAGAAATATCTTTACCAACATGGCGTAGGAGTGCCTTGCCAATACTGTGGTCAGAAAGGTAGAGGAAGTCGGTTGTATTATTATTATAATCAAAAAGAAGCGCTAAGCCACAAGGGCTATACAGAAGTCGGTTGTAAAGTGAAGAATTTAGTCCATTGTGTAGTCCGAAACTGAGCGTGGAGAGGGAGTGCAGGATGTGTCGATTTTTTCTGAGAAGAACGAGAAGGTGGAGAAGTATCATCAGCAGGTAATTGTCATTGGCATTTAGGCGTGAGACCAGAGTTGGTCCGACGTGGAACAGGCCGGCGATTCGAAAATTGCCGCACCGTAGAGGGAGAGCGGAGGTCAGATAAATCAAAGGAGTCAGTCAAGACCTCGGTACCTGAAGCGGGTGAGGAAACAGCACCGGCAAGAGGAGTGTCTGAAGAGTGGTCCAATGACGAGGCGGGGTCAGAACAGGGTGTGGTATCAAGAAGGGGCCCGGGAGTAGCAGGTTCGACTAGGGCTGCCATGGTTAGGTTACTTCTTCTTTTTGTTTTGAAGAAAAAAAAAAGGGGGGACCGGGGAGGGATAGTTCCTAGGAGGAATGAAAGGGCCAGAAATCTCCCTCCGCACCCAAGAGGATCTCAGCACCGCAAGTAGCGTAGATGCAGCATGGAACCCGTGCCATACCCTACCCATCATACCAGCAATCCGGGATAGCAACCTCACATCTGCCGAGGTACCTCGTGGACAAAAGAGAGGGGGGCCCGGATATCTGCCACAAAGCATACCCCCTTCGGCCACCCCCCGGAATCCAAAAGACACCCAAAGCCCCTCTCCGGATACCGGAGAGGGATCGGGACATCCCCAGGCGATCCAGTTTCCCCATGGCAAACTACGCCCCCACCAAGAACCTAAAAGGAATGGGATGGACCCCAGTACTCTTTCCCCTACCTAGGAACTAGCGAAACCGTGGGGAAGAGGGGTTTGGGGGGGTAATTAGGTTCTGTCTGAGGAAGGAGCCCGACAGGTCAAATTTCCCTCAGACCAAGAGCCTCTTCACCATGCCAAGGAGCCCCCTTGAAGAGGTGCATTGGTATAGCCACTGGTTGATGAAACATTTACAGTAAAGATACCCAGATGTTGCAAATGCAAATGTGTGTACTCTTGATGTAGTTATTGTAAACCATTTATGTACTTCGAGTAGCAGGGTTTTAGCTGGGACCCCCCACTTATATCTGCAATGTGTGTTTGTTTGATGCAGTGTGCTCAGGTTGGAATCCTGCTGTGGACATTTATATTTTCATTATTATTTTGAGGTTATGAATAACACACTCAAATAAATCTTTTAATCTCTTAACAACAGTATCATGCATTGGGTGATTATCTACAATATCACAATATAGTACTACACAATTACATCATTAACCACGCTTTCTATCTACAGTGTCAAAGGAAGTTCTTGGAAATACTTTCCAAAACGGCACACTTACCTGAGCTGGAGATTTCAGCCAAGCTTATACTGCAAGTAGCTATATTTTAGTAATGCAGTATCAAACTCAGGGCAAGTTATGATATAAACCAGGATGGTCAAAGTACTTTGAAAGCGAAGCCACATTTGTACAGTCGCCTACTGATATAACAAGACAGCCTAGCTAAATTCAGTAATATTTAGGCACTGCAATTTCAAGAGGTCTGGTAACTAAAAGAATATACAAAGACCATAATATTAATGAGAAAATATTTTATGGAAGAACATTCACAAGGAGAGAAGATGATGGAAAGTGAAATGAGCAACATCCAGCTGTCATATCAATGTAAGAAAGGATAATGAGTTATGTGGAATGATTATCAGGCAAACCATCTAAATATATCAGCTGTACAATTTGTTTGGCACTGCACCTAGAAAAAAAATTTAATTGTGGCATGTAACACAAATTGAAAAGAAATAAAATTTATAGGATTTGCTGCAACTTTAAACCAACACTAGTGACAGCAAGGTTTAGCTAAGAGAAATTTCAGGCACACTCTTGTAAACCAGACTGTCACAACAATATTAAACACTTCTTACATGCTTCCAATGACCTACTTGTGACAGCATTTTTTTTTCCACTACAATTTAGACATCAGCTTTTTCAGGTTTATTGTGGCTGGTCGATTATACAAAATCCTCTATCTCATGTCCCTTGAGAGACATTGCTCAAAGTCATTATCACGAGACTTAAAATTCATGACCTCGTCTTACACACGTCTAATCAGCTCCATATACGAGGACATGGATTAGATAGGCAAATTACATTCACAGAAGAGATCCTGTACTGCGAGGCCAGCAAGCAAGAGAACGACTAATTCTAAACAGTCCTGATTTGCATATGTACAAATTCTTAAAGTACAAATTATTTCACTAATATATTTTTCTATACACTGCTTAACTCATATTCTCGAGTGTGCATTCATGCGAGTGTCAGCAACAGCAGACTTAGCATGGATTAGTGCCTCCCTGGATATTTTTCTTGGGGAAGATCCAAAGCTGTTCTTGCTTATGTAGTCGTCATCACAGACAGCAGAGTCCACAGAAGATTGCCAGTCTAAAGAAGGTGTCTTTCCACTTTTGAGAACATTGCGCCCTGTAACAGCACGACCATTTGTTATACCAAATTGATTGTTACCTACATTCTGGTTATTTTCCTCAATATTAAAAGAGCATTCACTGATACCAGAATCGCTTCTCTCGCTGACTATACTGGATGAGGGGCGAGTCACAGGAGCACACCCTTTGGTCTTTGAGAGGGTGGTTGGAGTGGAAATTGGAGACTGGGAAGATGAGGATGGAGGTGTGTGGGGATGGTTCTCTGGGAGTGGCGAAAGGCGGGTTGGTGAGGAGGGTTGTGAACTGCGACGATTGGTGAGGTTGGCCATTCGTCCCAGGGCACGGATAGCATTCCCAGTTTTCTAAACAAAAAAAACCATGCAATTAGTATCAGAAATTCCTTTTAATACAGCTATCATGGTTAATAGGTAAAAATTATAAGCATTAGCTTTAAAATTAAAAAACAAAACAAAAAACAGCAACAAACTCTTTTGCTTTATAGTTAAGCCAGAAAATTTGTCTAGTATAACTTGGTGGCAAAAATTATTCTTTACTATTAAGTAAATCTTGTATTATTCCAACACTTAAGCTAAATCAAAACCTATACAAACCTGCCACTTCCGCCTTATTATGAATTTCTTAAGTTTGTCTGTTGACAGGACTACTTTATTCATGTCTGCTTCAGTCTGTGCTAGCCAAGGATGGTTAAAACATTCTTTGGCTGTTAGTCGCTTCCTGTGTTAATAGGAATAATGAATATCAGTAAAAGTCTATACATTACTTAACAATTTTATAAATATATACAGAACTTAATTCTGAACAGTAAGATTATTACTGCATATTTATGGGCAAGTGCTAAACCTGTAGTGGTCATACAGTTCTACTGTCACATATACATTATATATTTAAATAACACATCTGCCATTTCCCACTGAGTCAGGGTGACCAAAAAGAAAAAAAAACTTTCGTTATCATTCAACACTTTCACCCTCACTGATACATAATCTCTTTGCAGAGGCACCCAGATACGACAGTCACTCCAAACTGCCAATGTCCCAAACCCCTCCTTTAAAGTGCAGGCATTGTACAATGGACCCCCACCTTACGATATTAATTCATTCCCGAGAGCTCATCATAAGCCAAAATTATCGTTAGCAGAATTAATTTTCCCCATAAGAAATAATGGAAATCAAATTAATCCGTGCAAGACACCCCAAAGTATGAAAAAAAAAAATTTTTTTACCACATGAAATATTAATTTTAATACACACAAACTGAAGAAGACATGCACAATTACTACTCTACTAAGAATAGAATACATGACACTTACCTTTATTGAAGATCTGGTGATGATTGATGGGAGGAGGGGAGAGTGTGGAAGTTATTGTTTAGAAGGGGAATCCCCTTCCATTAGGACTTGAGGTAGCAAGCCCTTTTCCGGGGTTACTTCCCTTCTTCTTTTAGTGCCACTAGGACCAGTTTGAGAGTCACTGAACCTCTGTTGCACAACAAATCTGTCCCCAGAGCTCTGTACCTCCCCTTCCTTTAAGACTTTCCTAAAATGGGCCATAACATTGTCATTGTACAGGTTGCCAACACAGCTTGCAGCAGCTGTGTCAGGGTGATTTTCATCTGTAAAGATTTGCAGTTCAACCCACTTTGTACACATTTCCTTAATCTCTTTTTTTCAGTTCCATACTAATTCAAGCCCTTTTTACCACAGGGATGGCACTAGAAGCTTTCTTGGGGTCCATGGTGACTTTTTTTGCAGTTATAAGCACTAAAAATACTGGGATAATGTGAAATGTACTGAATGTATGCATAGATGCAACTGCACTGGCTGGTTTGTAAACACTGGCGCTGAGGCCACACGTGGGACGCGTCCCGGACGAATCACGTAAGGCAAGTTTTTTATCGTGAGGCGAGGCAAAATTTTTGCGTTCAAATGCTTCGTTTGACGGATTTAATGTAACGCATCGCGTTACGTTATATCCGTTCGTAAGGCGGGGGTCCACTGTACTTCCCATTTCCAGGACTCGAGTCCGACTAACCGGTTTCCCTGAATCCTTTCACAAAATATTACTCTGCTCACACTCCAACAGCTCATCAGGTCCCAAAAACCATTCATTTCCACTCCTAACATGCTCCTGCACGCTTTCTAGAAAGGGCAATGTGTGGTGTAAATATTATGCAGAAAATTCGGAGGTGTGGAGTTAATAAAAGTATTTGTCAGAGGGCTGAAGAGGGGCTGTTGAGGTGGTTTGGTCATTTAGAGAGAATGGATCACAGTAGAATGACATGGAGAGCATTTAAATCTGTAGGGGAAGGAAGGCGGGGTAGGGGGTCATCCTCGAAAAGGTTGAAGGAAGGGGTAAGGGAGGTTTTGTGGGCGAGGGGCTTGGACTTCCAGCAGGCGTGCGTGAGCGTGTTTGATAGGAGTGAATGGAGATGAATGGTATTTGGGACCTGACGATCTGTTGGAGTGTGAGCAGGGTAATATTTAGTGAAAGGATTCAGGGAAACCGGTTATTTTTATATAGCCAGACTTGAGTCCTGGAAATGGGAAGTACAATGCCTGCACTCTAAAGGAGGGGTTCGGGATATTGACAGTTTGGAGGGATGTGTTGTGTATCTTTATACGTATATGCTTCTAAGCTGTTGTGTTCTGAGCACCTCTGCAAAAATGGTGATTATGTGTGAGTGAGGTGAAAGAGTTGAATGATGATGAAAGTATTTTCTTTTTGGATCACCCTGCCTCGGTGGGAGACGGCCGACTTGTAAAAAATATAATATACATATATATATATATATATATAAAATATATATATATATATATATATAAAATATATATATATATATATATATATATATATATAAAATAAACAGTGGAGCCCCGATTAACGAGATTTTTTCATTCCAGAAAGTTGTTCAGTGCCAGTACTGAGCCGGAAATTTGTTCCCATAAGAAATATTGTGAAGTAGATTAGTCCCATTTCAGACCCCAAATACACGTACAAAGCACTTATATACATACACTTACATATTTGTGTCACATTAGGAGGTGATCGTTAAAGTGTGGATGGGGGGTCCACTGTATATATATTCTTCTTCTTTCAACGTACCAGCCGTAAGTTTTTATCCCACTGAGGTGGGTGTGGCCCAAAAGAAATAAACTGAAGTTTCTCCTTTTAAATTTAGTAATAATATACGGAGAAGAGTATTCCTAGCCCTCTTGCTCCCGGCATTGTAGTCGCCTCTTCAACACGCATGGCTTACGGAGGAAGAATCTGTTCCATTCCCCAAGGTGATAGAGGAAATAAACAAGAATAAGACCTAGAAAGAAAATAGAAGAAAACCCAGAAGGGTGTGTCTATATGTGTTGTACATGTATGTGTAGTGTGACCTAAGTGTAAGTAGAAGTAGCAAGACGTACCAGAAATCTTGCATTATGGGACAGGAAAAGGACTACCAGCATTCTACCATCATGTAAAACAATTACAGGCTTTCGTTTTTACACTCACTGGCAGTCGGTAGTACCTCCCTGGGCGGTTGCTGTCTACCAACCTATACTATCTGTATATTATATATATATATGCGTTGGGACCCCTGCCATACGAAGCATTTGAACGCCCAAAAATTTTGCCTCACCTCAATAAAAAACTCGCCTTACATGCTTCGTCCGGATGCGGTCCCCATGTGTGGCCTCAGTGCCCGTGGGTGGCCTGTGTTTACAAGCCAGCCAGTGCGGTCGCATTAAGCTACTTCGTACATTTCATATTAACTCAGTGTTTTTACTGCTCCTGTAAACTGCAAAGTAAGTCATCAGGGCCCAAGGAAGCTTCTACGTGCCTCCAACCCTGTGGTAAAAAGGGTCAGAGCAATGTTAATAGTATGGGCTCAAACATTAAGAAAGATTTTTAAAGGGGTTGATGCTGAAGGCTAACCCTGAGAAGCCTATGCCGTTGTGGAATCCCCCATGTGCCTACTTCAAAGATTAAGGAAATGTGTGCAAAGTGGGTTGAACTGCAAACCTTTATGGATGAAAATCACCCTCCCTAACACAGCTATTGCAAGCCATGCTGGTGACTATTACAGTGACAATGTTGTGGCCCATTTTAGGCAAATCTTAAAGGAACAGGAGGTACAGACCTCTATGGACAGATTTGTTATGCGACAGAGGTCCAGTGACTCTCAAGCTGGTCCTAGTGGCACTAAAAGAAGAAGGGAAGTAACCCCAGAAAAGGACTTGCTACCTCAAGTCCTAATGGAAAGGGGATTCCCCTTCTCAACAATAACTTCCACACACTCCCCTCCTCCCATCCCATCAATCATCACCAGATCTTCAATAAAGGTAAGTGTCATGTATTCTATTCTTAGTAGAGTAGTAACTGTGCATGTCTTCTTCAGTTTGTGTGTATTAAAATGAATATTTCATGTGGTAAAAAAAATTTTTTTTTCATACTTTGGGTGTCTTGCACGGATTAATTTGATTTCCATTATTTCTTATGGGGAAAATTAATTCGGCTAATGATAATTTCGGCTTACGATGAGCTCTCAGGAATGGATTAATATCGCGATGAGCTCTCAGGAATTCAAATTTAAATTCAAAGTTTATTCTCTATAAGGATTACAATGCTGAGTTTACAGAATTTTGTTATTGTGTGGTTTACATGTAGTAAAATAATAATTACAGAGTGTACCACTAGAACACCTAGCATGGCTAGGCATTTTGGGCAGACTTAAATTAAATCTTAAGTTTAAAATATTACAAAATTATGAGGTAAGTTGGTATTATGGCTAGGTGACTAAATACTAGTTTGTGAGTTTAGCAATGTGAATGCTTTTGTTTTGGCAATATACATAGTTTCAGTATTGGAGTATCACAGGCCAACTTATGACTAGTTAAGATTCATTATTTTGAGATTGAGATTGATATTTCTGTTTATGGTCAAATGGGTGAGTGAGTGTAAGTGTTAACCACCAGGTGGTATTCGTGTAATTAGTTGACAGGGTGTATCAGGGAGATAAGATGTTATGGATTAATATCGTAAGGTGGGGGTCCACTGTATGTATGTATATATATGTATATACATATATATATATATATATATATATATATATATACACATATACATACATACATAAGTGGGCCCTCGGTTTTTGTGCTTAATCCATTCCAGAGCCATCGGCCAAAACTGAAACCATTTTCGTTTCGTGCTTAATCCGTTCCAGACACCCAGAACTATCAACAAAAATTTTTTTTACTTTAAAGATAGAGTTACATGCACAAAAGAATGAACATTACACATGACACATTTGTTGAAGGCTGTTGTTGCTGGAAGGAAGACAGGGAGGAGGGGAAAGGAAAGAGGTTATTCTTTGGAAGAGGAATGACCTTCCATAAGGACTCTAGGTACCAAGTCCTTATCCAGGGTCACTTCCCTCTGTTTTTTAATGCCCTTAGGATCAGCTTGAGTCACTGGACCCGTTGCACAAAATATTTATACAAAGTGCTCTATTTCCATAGTCTCTAAGATTTGCCTAAAATGGGACATGGCACTGTCACTGTAAAAGTCACCAGCATGGATTGCAACAGGTGATGTTCCTCTACAAAGAATGCAC